AATGTTTTAATGTCAGTCAAACTATGAGACATTCTTTTTTTTTTTTTATTAAAGGTTAAAGCAGTTTGCATTATGGGATACACTACCCAACCCAGTGTGTTCTGTAATTTGTCCAAATGTAACAAGTCAGAACATTTGCATACTGTGCACTGTATTCATAATACAGTCTGCATTCCAAACATGCCAATGGAATATTTCACATAAAAAAACTAAACATTGTGACTTGAACATCTGATCGTCCTCTTGTGGTGGGAAACAGCAAGTACCTGGAAATGCCTGTGAATGCTTAATAATGAATTAAGTAAATTAACAAATAATATGACACATAATAAGTCTAATTTTCCTATAAAGTCAGTGTCAGTGTTGGTTAAATATGATTGGTTTATTTATTTTGTGCGCTGAGATTGTATGTCTAAATGTGAAATTCGGTTGAATAGACAGTTGATTACCACAGAAAATAATTAATAACTAATATAAAAATAAAAACCAAATTTTCAGTAAAAAAAAAAAAGGTGTTGACAAAAATATGTCAGTGTTTGCCTTGTATGCTTTCATTGTAAGTGTGTTTTTGTCAGCACTTCATTTAGCTTGTGTTTTTTTTTATATAAACTGAATTAGGAATCAATTTTTCCCCGGTGGGAATCAGTACAACTCAATCTGTATTTAAGGTGGTGTTTCTTCAACAAGGGTTTTCCTTTGGGGTTTGTAAGAAATGCCCATTTAATGACTAAATTTAATTAAATACAAAAGAATTGTATAATAAAAAACATATATTATAAAATGAAGAAAAAAGAATATCATTACTTAAAAACTAGAGCTTTTGATGACCTTTGACCTTGAAAGACATCTTTGTTCATTTTTATATTATTGCATTCAAATGCTGTTTCATAAATACATTTGTGTATAACATGTTTTAGTTTTAAATGCATTTTCATTTTAAAATAGCTTTATATAAAACCTATTGTAGTCCACTGCATGTCTTTCATTTAGATACCTAAGTATGCATATGTGTGTATAGGTGTGAAACCGAGGAGAAACTCCGACTCCTGAAGGAGCAGGAGGTGTCACAGCTGAAGCTAAAGATGAAAGAGATGGAAATGGCCAACAGCCTCCTGGAAAAGCAGCTTCATGAATCCCAGAATGAGTTACAGCAAATCATGGAGGAACATGAGGTGGAGACACGGTTTGGTTTAATGTCAGTTAGTGATTGTGTCTAATTGTGCAATTGTGTGTCACCGTGTGTGTGATGTTCTGTCAGTCATATTAAGCATTTAAGGAGAAACCTTGACGTCTGTCTTTAGTAAAAGATACTTGTTAAAAATGTTCCCTAATGTCTTAACGCCAAGTTGCGGTTAACCTCAAGGAAAGGGTGTGTGTATAGGGAATGGTGGTTCTATTATTAGACATTATATTGTATATAGATTTTGCCAGTAATACAATGTATTTGGACATCTTGTGTCCTTTTCGTTTGTGCACAATTATTATCTTTGCAAATAGTAAATATATAGCTTTAGCGCAACCAAAATTCACTTTTTTGCCAAATGTAACCAAAAGTGTCTACCAATACAAATACAGTTACTAAACCAAAAGTTGAACTGAAAAAATGACTTCAAATGTTATTGATTGAATTTAGATCATCTGATATTGGTTTTAACACTTTGACGTAGTTACTACATTTAAATTTATATGACAATATTGTAAACTTCAATCTGTCTTTATCAAAGTTTCACCCCAACGTAAGTAGCTCCATATTAATCAGCTGTTTCGATTATAAATCTTGTTCACGGAAATCTTTCCGTATTGGTGTGATCTGATCTTTATCATTCTCTCTTTATCATTATTATCACTCTTCTGAGGTTTAAGAATAATAACTATCCTGTTTATATAGCCTTACCCTGATTGGGTACAAAATACGTACAAATTAATTTGGATCGTAGATGTCAGAATGAGACATTTTTGTCGTTTTGGACTCGGGAAGAAGTCCTGAAACAGTATGTTTTCATCAGACCCTTGTATTTCAAAAGATGAAGGACATTTTTATTCTTCATGAGAGGAGCCCTTTAAATTCTCCTCTTCCTCCCTCTCTCTCTCTCTCTATCTCTCTCTCTCTCTCTCTCCTTGGCTGACAGAGAGAGCTGGATCAGCACCAGCGGCAAGCAGTAGAGGAGTGTAATAGAGTGCTAGCGCAGGTTGCTGCAGGAGAGGATGGCAGAGGAATGGATCTCTCCCGTACCAGCACCCAGTGCGACCACTCCAGCCCAGCCCAGAGTAGCCCTGACTCAGCCACGCCACCAAATCCAGCCCCAGGCTCCGGTCCGGCTTCACAGAGAAGGCCCCGAAAGGATGCAACCAGCCCCACAGCTGCGTTTCCTCCACAGGTACGAGTATTCACTCTCGCTCTCCTTCAAACACTCTCTACGGTCTGCTGGCCAGGGCACTGCAGAGCAGTCGTAGTGTGTGTGTGTGTGTGTGTGTGTGTGTGTGTGAGTGAAAAGACTGCTAAGCCACCATTATTATTCAAAACAGAATGAGGGATGCTAGTCCCATTGAGCATAACCATTGTTTTTTTTTTGTTCTCATCAGTAGGTGATTGTTTATTTGTCTTCCAGTGTGCTTGAGCAGAATTTATGCCCTCGCACAAAAACATGGGCCATCGGCCTCGTAACTCTCCTTGAAAAACAACAACACACTGCAGCTTGTCTTTACAAATACCTACTATGTTGGTACAATGGTAAATTGAGTGTATCAATACAGTGGTCCTCCAAGGTACTTGGTAGATGTCCAAAAAAAAATTATGGTACCATTGAACATGGTTTTACATGGTAACATGTCCAAAAAACAAGGTATAACCATGGTACATGTCCCAAAACACATGATATTACCACTGAATATCATCTCCTAAGAAACATGGTAACACCATATTACACGTCCAAAATCATGGTACTGTTCAAAAACATGGCAGAGCAATTGTCCAAAAACATGATATTTTTTTAAATTTTAGATTAAGACTATATATTGTTTTTGGAACTGTGCAGTCATTCTTATCAGATGGAGACTGAAGTGATTCCTAGACTGTGATATACATCAACTCAAACCACACGAGCATCAATTCAGTTTTCTTTAATGTGATCTATTGTGTTACCAGTGCTCACTGGAGTCATTTGGCAGATAACTTTATTTTGGGATGTAAATCATGGATAATAAAAAACAATATGCCAGAGAGGCTATGCATTAAAGTCATTTTACCATGATTAAGATGTGTCCTAAGGCACAGTGTGATGAAACCTCAACGGTAAGCAATATGAAAAAAGCTTTAAAAATGTAACAAGATTTATTGTATTCTGTGGTATTCTTATGTATACACTGCATGTGTTGTGTTTTTTGTGTTCTGTAGGTGAGAGCAGGTGATGAGGCCCTGAAGGAGGCACGAGCCGAGCTCGCTGAGGCCCGGAAGCGATGGCACCGTCTACAGGTGGAAATCGAATCGCTACATGCCTTGGTGCGTTCGGTTCTCACAGACATGCCCACAGACACACCCGAACACACACACACTCACTCCAATTCAGAAACTTGTAGACACACCTAAACACACACTCCTGAACCCATTTCACCTTAATGCATAATATGCAAATTAGAATATCACTTACTGCTACATAACGCATATGCAGGTCTTAATTTCTGCCAGAACCAGCCAGATGTGAATCCGGCATCTACGAAATCGGATTCAACCTCTATTCAACCTCTATGTAGTGCGAATTCAGTGTTAAACATACATCAATACTTTGCCTCCAGGGAATGGATGACAGATCCCTGCCGGATTTGTCATCACTCCTTGTTCTGGGAACTCATAATTTATAAATCAAGTACTGCAGATAACCACAAATTGTTACCAAATACTAATTTTGTTGTTAAATATTAATTATCTGAAGGTTGTGGGCTCAAATCCCTTTGAAGGCACCATGTTATACAAGTTGACCCCTGGGAATCTAATCCATGTATTTAGTGTTGGTAGAGCCAGGTTCCACTACTTGATTCCCAGTTCATGAACTTTAGAATTATTGGGATCTTCAGTGACCACTGTGTCCTTGATCAAGATACGTTACAGTGGTGGTGGTGTGGTGAAAACTCAAGGCTGTTAATCAGAAGGTTGCTAGTTTGATGCCCCACAAGGCATGATACCAATGCCACAAACATTGTGCCCTTAAACCAACATCTTAATCTCAGATATATCCAGAAGTTTATTGTCAGTTTCTGGAATATTCTTGGTCTCTGCAATATTAGATCCTTGAGTCATCACCATTGTGCCAAGGTTTTCAACTTCAGGTGCCTTCAGGGGGATTAACAATAACAAGAAGGTTGGTGGATCAAACACCGTAAAATGCGATCTGTGAGCCATTATCATTGTGCCCTTTGAGCAAGGCACCTAATCCCATGTTGGTCCAGGCGGACTGACCCAGTAAAACATAGATGAAGTGGCACTGGAACTGAAGTGACTCGACTTAAATGAAATATGCCTTGCTTGTCTGCAATATTTTGGTCTCTGTTCACTGTTTCAGACCACCCTATTCGATTCCTCAAACCCTGAAATTCCATCCATTCATTAAGTCATTCTCCAAGCAGATTGTCCCACGAAGGGCCACGGGGATGCCGGAGCCTATCCCAGTGTTTCGGGTGTAGGCTGCCCCTGGAGATGTTGGAAATAAATAATTCTGTTTTATCCCACCAGGAGAGGAGTCTCCAAAGCTCCCTACACCACACTCAGCTCCAGTACTCTGTGCAGCTCAAGGATATGTCCCGGTCTGTCAGGGGTCTGGAGTCTGACCTAGAAACTGTGCAGGATAGTCTGGAAATACAGAAACAGAACCATAGTCAGCTCCTCAACACCAAGATGAGGCTGGAGAGAGAGATAGCAACCTATAGGAAACTCCTGGAACACGAGGAGGGCAGGTAGGGGAGAGATAGATTTACTGAGCTGTATTTGTTTATGCAATTAAACTGTTAGCACACGCGCGCTCAAACTTGTATGATGTCTTTTATGCAACTCCAAAGTAATGCACTGGAATTTTGACAGGGTTTTTTGCCATTGTGCCATTGATGTTATAAATGATGTTTCTAAGGTACCAATGAAGTTGAGCGTGGTCTTGAATCAAACCTGTTTCTTCTTTCACTCCTGAACCACAGGTTTCTGAACTCAGATGGTCGGTCTCTAAAGCTGAAGCCATGGAAGGGGTCAGTTCCTGCTCCAGAGCAGAATGGCCTGCCCAATGGATGTGATGAAGATATCGCTGAGCCAATCTTCTCAGAGAGAACTTCAAAAATGAGTCCGGCCCTTCAGCGACAGCAGAGTCTTGTCATCCTCACAGGTAAGGATGATGATGTCCAAACGCCCTCAAACTCATTTTCCAACCAATGATTCCACCCAATGTTTCCACCCATTCTTAACAACTGGTTCATTATACAACTGCAAGCCTGACAGATGTTTTGTAACTCTGTGTTTGCGTTTTTCCATCCAGAACCAGTTCTAAACAAAGATGGGGAGATCTGTACTGTGAAGACTCGGGAGATTCTGGAAGGAAATGTAGTGAGGGAGAGTGCCGAGGGTCACGGAAATGTGGAGTGAGTTTACATAGACTTATTTTCAAGCCTTGCTTAGCTGCAATTAAGAACCATAAGCATTTCACACCTTAAGGACAAACATCTTGATGTGTTTGATCTTGCATGTGGCTTTGCAGGCAAATACAATTGTGATGGAACTTTTACATCATCATTTTTTTTGCACCAGAGATTATGTAATCCTAATTTAGATGCTTATTATTTTGCTTTTTGTGTGCTATAGGACAGAGAAGATTGACAAGGTAATCAGGCAATGGGAAGGGTCATTCTTTAAAGGAAATCCCAAGCTGAGGAAGAAATCTGTGTCTCTGCGTTTCGACCTTCATATGGCTGTAGCGGATGAGGGTTGCAGCCAAACAAAACAGGACAGTCTCCCAAACGTGGAGGTCCGTCTGGTCATGAGACGGTCTCGCAGCATACCCACTTTTGCCCAGTGATGTCATAATGCTACTACACCACAATTGTGACATCACCATGCTACCACATCACAACTGTGACCTCACAATGCTACTGCATTACAATTAAGTAGTGGTGACCACGTCTCAATGTCTCGCCGACTAATAAAAGCGAATCACTTTAGTAACGTTATAAAACTCTTGCCATTTGAAAGAAAAAAAGCGTCATATCATCAGCAAAGCGTTCGAAAACAAAAACTCAAATTGCTTTTATGATTGTAATGAACTCATGCAGATAAAGCTACTTTAAGCTAAAGCTACTTAGAAATTTCAAGGCAAATTAATTTGTAGTTGATTTATTTTACTTCAAACGTAGATGTTTGAAGATGAATGGGAAGTACAAACGTCTTGCAGTGCTTCAGATACATTGTGACTTTAGAGTGTGACTCTCTGTGGACGCTCTACTGCCACATTATTGATTATTAGCACATATTACGTTACTGAAAACCTATAAAACTATTGGTTTGTGAAAATGTGTATAGATTATACATCTATAAAGCTGAATCTTAAGTCTCAGTGAGAAATGGTCAATGTGGATTCGGAGATTTCTCATTCAGTGCAGCGTAACAAAAGATGCCTTATTGTGTTTGACAAATGTTACTGGAACCAATTTTACACTCCAGTGAACGCTAAGGGGGTATCAAGTTCTGGTTCTGCAGGAGGCTGTAGTGTGAACCAAAACAAAATATTGCGAAATTTGCAAGTGTAGCAGAAATCAGCAGCCAAAATTAAAAATTATGGTGAAACCGATGTACTGTCCTCACGATATTGCCTGCATGGACGTGTACAGAATGACTAGCAGTCTATCACTGCGGGGAGAATGAAATGCTAAAAGTAAAATGTTGACTATGAACTTCTCTACTAATTACTTTCTCCTATAAAAGTTACATTGCTTTGTATTAAGGATGCATATAGTTTACGCTTCATTTAAAGTGCAAATACTGTCTTCCAATCAAAAAATTATGCAGGATTGTTCAGAAAACTTGAAATGATCATACTTCAACAACCAAAAAAAAAAGATTTTTGCATTTCTTATCTGTATATATTAATCATTTAAACTGATTTATTTGCATACCCATTATGTTCTACCTCTGGTGGTTGTTGTACTGTAAATACATGGGTTTTTTCCTGATGCAACAAAGAAATGGATACATATGCATATATTTAATTTGAAGTTATATTAAATCTATATCCCTGAAATATGATGATATCACCTCATAGGTTTAGTTACTGCTTTCATTCATGTAATGCACAATCTAGTATCATACAGGATTAACCTTTCACGTTTCATTATCTTTCAAATTGTGACTTACTCTAAGAAATGTGAAGAGAAATTGCACCATATGCATTGGTAAAAATGTCAATTTCATATGCACTTTAATGGATTAAAATCAGAACATTGCTAACTTTCAGATTTTTCTCTGTACTCAACATTTTTTCACAAATGACTGTTGCTTTTTTTTAAACATAACTTTTTTTGTATAAAATCTATAGCTCTGCCCTGCTGCGTGATTTGGCTTTGTATGACAGGTGCTAATAAAGCTATTATTATTTCCAGATGAGCTATTTATGTTATGAGCAAAGCTGTCCAAAGACATTTCATTAGACCACAGTGCCTGGAAAACTAGCACACAACACAGACGTCCCAGTTAAGCCTGGAATAGATATGTAACAGAACAAAAACGACATGAAAATGATTTTACTCAGATAATGGTGTACAAAACAAATTATGCTGCATAATCATTCAACTAAACAGGTTAGCATTGTTTTTTTCATGTTTAATAATGTCCACAACCCCAGTTCTGTGATGTTCTCTTGTTCAAGTAATTATTAAACGTGTAAACCTTAATTTTAGCTAGATGCTAATGCAAACAGTATGTGACAAACTCTGGTAGCAAGATTATACTTTTGACAATGCTTTTACCAGCAAATTGAGTAGCAGTAATTGGTGTCTAGTGCCTATATTTTAATGTTGTATCCTAATGGTTAACATTAGGCTGTGGAGCTCATATGTGGGTGATTAATGTTACAGGAAGACCGTTATTAAAATGATAAGTTAATATAAATCGCAAGCTCTGAACCACTTTCTTGAGAAATAGCTGACCCAGATATCTTAAAAAAAAATTCCTTAACTTAAAGACATTCTTTCTACACCTGGAAAATGGATCTCCATATTATTGTACACAAATAATGTTTAAAATATTATATACAGCATTTTGCATTTTCTGAGGAAAGTATGAGTGAGGCTACCGCTAAAGTGTTATGAAGAAAAGATGAACGCTGCTCCCTAGTGGTCATTTATGAACTTGCCACACAAAACTGTGTGGAATACTTCTCCTTTTTGTGAAGTATTGCATACTTCGAGTATGTACAAAATTTGATGAAGAAATTAAGTATGTAGTAGGTACTATTATGTTGCCATTGTTGACTTATAATGTACTAACAACAACTGCTAAAACTGTACAATTTTACAACAAAGATTGTTATTTTGTATTGCCTATATAGTACTTACATTTGAAAAGAGATGCCATTAGCTCTCCGCTATTATGCATTTTCCCTCAGCTCCTGTGGCATTATGGGACAGCAAAGTGTTGCAATCTTAGAATCTCAACAGATGCAGATTTTTTTTTCATGAATGTTAATTCATGGGTAGTAAATCCTGAATCCTAATTACTTTCCTCTCACTTGCTATAGCATTTCTAGCTCAAAATAACTTTCTGTTTTAAGCCTCTTACCAGTTTTCTTGTTCATCCGAGTGCTGTTTTTGTTTTCTGTGGACACTTTTGGCTATCTGGGTTTATGTTTAAACGTTTTTATTTTTTTATTGAAGGAGTAAAGCAACATACATTAAAACAATGAAAGTTAAATTTTCCTTCCTTCTACTTTTACTATACTATAACAACCCCCACCCACCCCATCCCTTCCCTAGACAGCTTAGTTGCAACAAAATAGCGTAGTGTCTGGCAAAATGAAACAATCTTATTACATCTTTTCAAGGCATAGACCCATTGCATACCACTACATAGTGATGATAATAATAGTATTATTATTACAGTATGAATATGTAAGAGAAAAAGAGAGGGGGAAAAAACAACAACAACAATTTAGCCATTCTGTGAGACAAATTACAGGTCAAAACATCAAATACATCATCACAAAAGGGTAAAGAAAGAGATACATATAAGGAGAGTAAAAGTCAACAGCTGGGTAATTCTTTCAGGTTTTTAAAATATGACAAAATGGGTTCCCAATTTGAGTAAAACCTGTCCACAGATCCCCTTGGTGTAAATTTGATCTTTTCTCATTTTAAAAAGAACATCACATCTTCCAGCCAATCTGTCACAGAAGAAGGGGTAGGGGATTTCCAACTCAACAAAATTCTTTCTCGGGCCAATAAAGAAGTGAAAGCAATAATGTCCCTCTGGGTTGCAGTTAAAGTAATGATTACAGTGTCACTGGGAGTTCCAAAAATACCTATTGAAGGACAAGGCCGCAATGTCACCCTGGGCGAAAAAGAGCATCTATCACAGGGTGCATCTAACCCAGGATATATTCCAGCTAACCATGCCTTGCTCAAGTGAACCCTATGCAGCACTTTGAATTGTATGAGTCCTAACCTAACAGAAAATGATGATGAGTGGACCTTTTTAAGCGCCTCCCTCCAAAAAGCCCTTAGACAGCTCTATGCCCAGTTCATCTTCCCACCTGGATTTCATTTTATCCAGATTGTACCCTTCCAAAGACATGAGCTGGGAGTATAAAAGTGAAATCAATCCTTTATTATTAAAATTGAGAGTAAGATTATCTAAGGGGCGAGATAGGAGGAAGGTCGGGGAAGGATTGAGAATCTGAAGATATCTAAAAAAGTGGTTTTGTGGAAGGTCACACAATCTGCAGAGGTTCTCAAAACTGTTGAATAAACCTTCAGTATATAAATCTTTGATGCATATCAACCCGGAAACTACCCACTGTCTAAATGAGGTTTATGCTCAAATTTGATATTTATAGTTAACTACACAATGTGTATTTCTATACATGAGTATATTAAAGGGATAGTTCACCCAAAAATGAAAATTCCTTCATTAATTAGTAATTACTCACCCTCATGTCGTTCCAAACCTGTAAGACCGTACATCTTCGGAACACAAATTAAGATATTTCTGATGAAATCCGAGAACTCTCAGACCATGCATAGACAGCAATACAACTAAAATGTTCCAAGAAACGTAGTAAGGACATTGGTAAAATTGTCCATGTGACATCAGTGGTTCAATCGTAATTTTACAAAGCTACGAGAATACTTTCTGTGCGCAAAGAAAACTAAAATAATGACTTTATTCAACAATTCTTCTCCTCCTCATCCCGTCTGCAGCAGCGCACCGCCATTGTGGAGAGTATCACGACGCATGCGCTTCCTTCCGTTTCATGTAAACACATGCGCATGGTGCTGCTGCTTACTTAATAAAGTCATTATTTTTGTTTTCTTTACGCACAAAAAGTATTCTCGTAGATTACGGTTGAACCACTGATGTCACATGGACTATTTTACTGATGTCCTTGCTACGTTTCTGGGTCTGGGAACATTTCAGTTGTATTGCTGTCTATGGAGGGTCCGAATTTCGAATTTGAGCTCTCGGATTTCATCAAAAATATCTTAATTTGTGTTCCAAAGATGAACGAAGGTCTTACGGGTTTGGAATGGCATGAGGGTGAGTAATTAACGACAGAATTTTTATTTTTGAGTGAACTGTCCCTTTAAGCAAATAATTAAGAAAAATGAACTCGGTGTGTGTTTTTTGGGTGGAAGTAGGTCACACTGAACCCATATAAGCTCATCTAATCCCTGAAATTTGGCAGACATTTTTTGCTTGCAGCCAGGAATGGCATTTCTGTGTGTATCTGAGTTGTGCGGGTTTGCACATTTGCAAGTGTATGCACACGTTTGGGTGTTAATACTACAGGCTATTTTGTAGCCAGGAATTTCAATACTTTGTATACAGTAATCCACTTGGTTATCCACTTCTCTGGACCAATAATTTTTAATATGAGTGCGTGTGGAGGTGTGTGGGTACCTGCCAACACAGCTGAATAAACACACATCCAAACAGGCCCACGCACTCGGTACTGTTTCTATACCCCATAATCCACCTGTCTTTTTCTAGAAAGCACTGACTCAATTTTTGGATCTGGTTTTCATGACAAAGCGAATGTCCTCTTTACAGAGAGATGTCTGGGTATAAAAGAGCCGGAGTGCGACGGGCCTGAACCAGCACAGCTCCGCAACTCTACCCCAACCACAGGTGCTGCCACCAGCCAAACCTCTGCAGAATGGGCCGGGTGAGTACGAAGGTGATCAGGACACTCTGCACCGATTATTGATCATTTATTGGCTGCCATTTGTGACTGATTAGTGATAGATAGAGCCATTTTGAGATGGTTGGGCATACAAGATTGTATTTAATTTATATATTTTTATAGATATAGATATTTTTTGTAGATATTTCATATTATTGTTATATTTTAGATTTTTCATAATATAATTTTTTTTAACAATACTGTGATGCAACCAGAGGTAGTTTATTAAAATAATATCCGAGTGTGAAATAAAATTCCACCGTCTCCTTTGTATAGATTATTTTCTACGAGGACAAGAAATTCCAGGGCCGTCGGTACGAGTGTGACAGCAACTGTTCGGACTTCCATGCCTACCTGAACCAGTGTAACTCCATCCGCGTGGAGAGCGGGGCCTGGGTGGTCTACGAGAGGCCCAACTTCATGGGCTACCAGTATGTTCTGACCCGGGGCGAGTATCCGGATTACCAACGCTGGATGGGTCTGAACGATCGTCTCTGCTCCTGCAAGATGATCCACTTCGTAAGTCGCCCACATGCAGTGGAAACATTATGTAGTGCATATTTGAAATTCAGTAGATGTTCTTTCCACTCCAGGTGAGCGGTTCTGAGTACAAGATTCAACTCTACGTCAAGGGAGATTTCGCGGGCCAGGTGTACGAGACCACCGAGGATTGTCCATCCGTGGTGGAGCGCTTTCGGACACGCGAGGTCCACTCCTGTAAGGTGCTAGATGGGATCTGGATCTTCTACGAGCACCCAAACTACAGGGGGCGTCAGTACCTACTGGAGAAGGGGGAGTACCGTAAACCCGTGGACTGGGGCGCCGTCTGCCCTACGGTTCAGTCCTTCAAACGCCTGACGGAGTGACGTCTGACCTGTAAATCCATCCATCTGCAGTCCTCCTTTACCTCCAAACCACCCAACCATAACAGCACTGACACACCTGTGCTGAATCAATAAATGTGTGGTTGCAAGTGAAACTGTTGTCTCTTTTTGCAAATGTGTGATCACTAGACCTTGACTTTGGGAACTATATACATTCTATAGATCTCATAATTGAATAAAAGGAGTTAAAAGGGATAG